GGTGCAATGCCAGGCTGAGCAGGGCAGGCTCCTAGAAGCCTCAGAAGCGGATTCCAGCCTGGCTGGGGCCCCAAGTGGAGCGGGCTGGCTTTAGCAGACAGGTTCTTTGGCCTGGGTGGCATCTGTGAAAGACTGGGACCTGGAGAAGGGCCTTCTGGGCCTTCTGTGTCCTGGTGCTGCTGGGAATTGACGCTTTGCTGTTCTGGAGGCCCTTCCTGGCCTGTGAGAGTATCCCATTAAGAAGGATCCTAAACAAAGCCCTGATTCTGGAAGCTTACAAAAAATAATTTTAAAAAATCTTCCCCTTAAAAAAATTTGATCAATGGCCTCTTCCCATTCTTTTTCTTGGTGGCTATTGCCATCTTCCCTTCTTCCAGCCAGCACTTCCAGCCGAGCCTGTCAGCTTGTTAACTTGAACTGAAAACTGGAACATTCCAGAAATCTTCAAACTTGTCCTGTTGCACACTGTGGGCTGCTCTGGTAGAAAGGCTGGGGGTAGAGCCGCTTCCTCACTCGGGCCACCCAAAGAAGCTTTTGCCTGTCCATGAAAGGGGTGGGGTGGGCCATGGTAGAGTCCAGGAGGGCTCCCTGGGGCCCAGGTGCAAGCAGCAGCCTCCCCTGCCAGGCTGTCTCCTGAGTTGGAGCTGCCTGCCTCCCCCAGGAACGGAGGACCAGTGGCCATTAGTCTTTCTAGAATAGTCCCTTTGGGTTGTGTGACAGGGCTGACGTGCTCTCTTTTCCTCTTTGTGTCTCTCCTTTGAAATGTGAGGGAGGGCAGTGGGACGTTAGCTTCTTCAAGGACCTGCTTATGGAATAACCCGAGCTATGACTGTCGGCAAAAAATGGGACCAGAGCCAGGTGCCTGTGCTCTGGGAACCTCACAGCTGCACATTGTTCTGCCAGAGGGGCAGGGGGCAGTGGAGGCAAAGCCTGGACTGCTCTTCTTTCTCCTTCAGAAGCAGGCCCAGCCTCTTTGGTTCTCATGCCACCTCAGGCCTGAGACCCTCCCTTGGCCTCCACGACGGCGAGGGCCACGTTATGGGCTTCTCCCAGCTCTCACCACATCCTGTCCTTCTAGTCCTTGGCTTCCTGTGGGCAGAAGGCGCAGTGCTCTGAGTGGGCTCTGGGTGGAACAAAGGCTGATTATTCTCGGATATGCTGAGCCGTGCTGCTGTGGGACCCTGCAGCCACACCCCCATCACAGAGCTTGGGGGGTGCAGGCAGGGACATCGGTTAAGGGGAGACACCCTCTCCCTCTGGGTGCACCTGGGCCAGTGGATGACTGCCGCTCACCTGGAGACTGTTCAAGGACAGCAAGAAAAATGAGGGACTTTCAGGGGCAGCTGTGTTTTCTGACTCAGTCATAATGCCCCTAAAAATCCTTATTGTTCTTGCAGTGTGCATCGGGCAACTGCAGTAGCCACCAACCCATCCCAAGCCCCTCCAGGACAAAAGGGACTTCCTGGGGTCTCCACAAAATGAGAGTGAAAAGGGACTCCCTGACTGTTGAAGCAGTTGATTTGTCATGCACCTCTTTACAGCGTTCTGGGGGGGCTGTGAGGCAGTGGGTACTGGGCATCCGGGTGTTCCTGTGCAGGGTGGCACTCAGGTGAGTGTGGAGAGCTCTGTCTCTTGCACAGTGAAGGTTGGTAAGAGCCCAGCAGCCTAGGCAGTGCCCAGGAAAGTCATGCTTACTGCCATTAAAGCAGCTGTGGCGGGCTGGACGGAATGCCCTCCCCTCTTTCCTGAGCAGTCAGGGCAGGAGGGAAGAGAGCACCTGGCAGGAACTTGCATTGTATTTTAAAATAGAAGGGCCCTCTGAGTGCACTCTCGGAGACTGGCTGCCTTACACACCAGGGTGGCAGCAATTCAGGGTCTTTCCCCTCTTGCTGTGAGACTGGGGCTGTTTTTTTCTTGGCAGGATGTTCTCTCCCTCTTTGGCTTCATGGTCCCTTCTGTTCTCAGCAGGTGCTGCCACCTTTTCCAGCCCCTCCCCTGCAGACACTTTGAGTCAGCGCTTTATCTTTGGAGGGCTCCCCAGTCAAGAAGCAGAAATAATCCTTTAAAACAGGAACCCCTTTGTGATATGCCCCTCTTAGCACCACCCATGCAAAAAGACGTCAGCAGATCTCAGAGCAACAGAATCAAGTGGCTTGCCCACTGGTGGACAGACAGCAGTACAGGCGACAAACAGCGCTGGGCCTGCCCTGCCGGGTCGGCCCTGTGTCTGCAGTGGGAAATTCACCCTGGAAACAGTTCTGAGCCCCCTCCCCACCAGCAGCTAGCTGGAAAGCTCCCATCACCTGCGAAGGTGGGGGTGGGGCTGGGTGGGCATCTGCAGGGCCTTGACCTTCTAGACCTTCCTTCCTGCCAGCCTGGCCCGAGCTCCACGGCCTGGCAGGCTGAACACCAGCTCCTCTTTGCCTAGGACTCTCAGTTGCATCCTGCTCTGGGGGAGGCCCACCTCCAAGGTGAAGTTTAAACGTGGATGGTATTTAGCTCCTTGCAAAGCTCCGAGTGAGACTCGCACACCTTCAGTGGGCAAGGGTGGTGGCACAGCATCCCTTCAGCCCTGAGCAGTCACCCACCTCCTCCTACTTCTTGATCCCTTGCCTTGCCCTTCCATCCCTTCCTTTCTTCTCCTGTGTGTGTGTGTGTGTGTGTGTGTGTGCGCGCGCTACATTCTTTACCCCGAAACATTTGCAAAAGACAATACCTCAGTTTGTCTTAAGAAGGCAACACATTCAAAGTAAAAATGATTGCTTTTTTTTTTCCCAATTACAAAAGAATGGTCTTCATTTGAAAAATTGAAAATTGAATTGCTTTCAAAATGCTGTTCACCAAAAGGAGGAAAAAAGGTCTATAAATGTCCATACCTAGAGATAATGTCTGCTAATGAAATATGTCCTTTCTGCACACATCCCCCACCCAGTGGGAAACTGGCATTTCTACAAGAGACAGGCCTCTCATGCACAGGAGCCACTTCCGTGCCCATAGGAGACTAGTTTCTTTCTACCAGTTTGGGGGTTCTGTGGGTCCTGCCAGTCTCCAGCCAGGAAGATGTTGCCGGCAGGAGTTTGAGTAGATTTGCATCCCCCTGAACTAGGATGGGTGGAGTGTCAGTACTGGAGAAGTGCAGGTTGTGCCCTGACAGGTGCTCAGAGGGGCTTCTGAGGTGCTTCTTTGACTCCCATTGCACCCCGGAATCACTTGGGGAGTGTTAAAAAGCCAATGCTGGACTCTATCCAAGCCCAAATGGGTCTGAAATGCCAACAAAGGGTGTGGAGAGTACCCCATGGAGGAGAGGTATCTTGGTTTATCTTGAGTTTGTTTTTCGTTCTCTTCCTCAGGCAATTCTGTTAAGAGCCCATGCCCACAGATAATAATGGAAGATTCCCTCCAGCTCTGCCTGCAAAGCCCCATTGAGGATGTGACCATTTGCAGTTGGCAGGATTTCACTTCCATTATGATGTGTGCTGCCCAGTCATCTCTGATGCTACTTTCAGATGGAGAACAGGCTAAGGAGATGTGTGTGTGTGTGTGTGTGTGTGTGTGTGTGTGTGTAGGGTTATTCACAGAGCTGGTATGTGGAAGAGCTGCAATTCAAATCTGTAGCTATGACTCCCAAAATGAGCGATGTTTCAGTAGTACTAGTAGTGTTCCCAGTTAGCACATGTAAGAAACCTATTACAGGCTTCATAATAAGCAGCACTTGGTCATCCCAGCCCTGAGGGGTGTGGGTGTGGGCCACAGTCCCCACCCTAAACCCCATGTGAGTCATCTTCCGAGTCTCCCCATGCTGAGTAGCCCCCATAACCCTGGATGCATAACCGCCCACTCAGCCTGTACCACTGCTACTGAGACTTACCCCCAGTACATACGAGGAATGGGCTCAACTCAGGACACGTGGCCTGGGTCACCTGGCTGCTGGGTGCCCATGGCAAGACATGTGTGCCACTTTCCTGCTCAGAGATGCCCAAGAAGGGCCTCAGCTCTATAGGGCTTGAGTCAGAAGCCCTACTGGGGGTCCCCAGGTCTCCCCTAGATTCCTACCCTCCTTCCTTCCAAGAAGCCTGGCCTGTGGTCTGGCTGGGCGGGCTGCCAGTGCCTGGAGCTGATGCCGGGTGCACTGTTGGCTGCAGGAAGCTATGGGATATGCCCCAGCTGGTATGCAGAACTGGAGTGCCAGCCTTGGAGACAGGAGCCAAGGGCACCCCTCTCCTGCATCCCAGGGCTCTGGGCCAGGCTTCCTTTTGAAGCAAGGGCCTCAAGTCCCTGGTACTCCTCGTTTGGCCTGGGCCCGGGCCCTCCTCAGGCCAGCTGCCACTCTTTTCCCTACCCAGCTCATTGCAGTACACAAGTGTATACTCTTGTAAATGACATCTGGGAAACCTGCTTTCCAGAAAGTGGATGGTTGTCCAGGCAGGTGGAGCCAGCATTTCAGTGGGAAGCGGGGCATGGGTGCATGCTCAAGCCTCTCTTACCCATGCTCCCAGGGGGCTGATTTTGGGGGATCAAAAGAGCATGGGCCAGGGGTAGGGTTCTGTAAGTCCAGACCCAGTAGCTCCAAGGCTCCTGCTGGTCCTGGGCCACAGGTGCTGTGGGTTCCCTGGGTCAGGAGACCCTTGCTCTGGGCATGATGGCACACACATGTAATCCCAGCACTCTTGGGTAGGTGGGGAACACTGGATGCTGCTCAGTGCAAAGGCCCTGGGTTCCCTTCCTAGTACTGGGTAGAAGAATAAATGATGGAAAAGAAAGAAAACAAACCCCAGCTCAGAGTAGCCTAGCTGCCAGACATGGCTGAGACAAGAGCCTGGAGGACAGGGGTTGGGTGCTACAAGCCTTGGGCCTAGAGTCTGGTCAGATGCAGTCACTTAGCTGAGGACCTGGGAGCAGGCCTGTGAGTTTGATGGCTGTGGCGTTTCCTGTAGGAGTGTGAGCTTTCCGGCTCCTGCGTGTGAATACAAAGCCTTTGTGCCCTTTCCCTTTCCTTCTAGGAGTGCCCTTGTGCACAGAAGGCTGCTGCTGTGCCCAGAAAGACACTCCATGAGCAGCAGTGGTGACACACTACCCAGGAGGTCAGATTTGGCCCTCAGCATGGTGGATGGCGCCTTCTATTCTTCGTTCTACAAGGATGACTTTTCCTGACAGTCTTCTCTGGCCTCCCATCTGCTGGCTACTGTTAGGACGGTGGCTCTGGATAGTGGAGTCTGAAGGCTTGCCTCTTTGCCCTGGATTTCCCTGCGGCCCAGGCCCTCCTTCCTGGGCCAGGGGTAGGGTTCTGTAAGTCCAGACCCAGTAGCTCCAAGGCTCCTGCTGGTCCTGGGCCACAGTAACTCCTGAAGAGTGCCTTCCATCCCTGCCAGCTGCCACAGAGTAGGCGCCCAGCACTGGCAAGAAGCACTCTCCACTTGGCTTGGCAAACAGGAAAGCAATTGGTGCTCCCTTTGTTTTGATTCTTGTGTCTCTAACAGCAGAGCCAGTGACATCACAGAAAAGCAGCCTTGGGCTTGAGTGGAGTGGGATCCATCCCTGATGAACCGGCTCCCACAAAGTCATCTGGATACGGGAAATGTGATGGCCCATTTTTCTGATGATACCTCTCTCCACTACTCTGGATCCCTGGGGTTCAGGCTGGGCCAGCTCTACCCACTAGCTTTAGAAGCAGACATCTGATCCAGGCCTGCACACAGGCTCCTGAGACTCCCCCAGAGACTTCTGCAGCAATGTGGGGAGAGAGCTTTCTCTTACTGTGGGAGTTGCTAAGTCCACAGGGCATAAGCTTGGTGCTGCTGATGGCCAATCTGCTGCCCATTTGAGGATGAAGCTGGCAAGAAAGAGAACTAAGATGAATGGGGTGTGCTGCCCAGACTTGCCTCCCGCTGCCCAGGAAGCTTCTGAATCCAGTGGTGCTGGAAGCCAACTGTACCTCTGGACTGGCCTGATCATGGAAGCCAGTGCTTTTTAAAGTTTTTTTCTTTCCTTTAAAACCAGACTGAGCGAGTACAACGGCGAATTCTGAAGATGCCGCCCAAAGGAAAAAGTGGTTCTGGAAAAGGAGGGAAAGGGGGAGCAGCCTCTGGGAGTGAGAGTGCTGAGGAGAAGGTTCAGGGCCCCAAAGGTGGCGGCAGCGTAGTAGAGGTCTGACACAGTCTGCGTGGAAAAGCACAGAAAAATTATAGAAGCTATGGAAAAGTAAAGTCCGGGATGAGCTTCAGTGAAGTGGCCGCACAGTATAGTGAAGAGGAAGCCAGGCAAGGGGTGCCTTGGGTTGGACGATCAGGGCTCCACGGTAGGACCATATCAAGAAGCAGCATTTGCCTTGCCTGTGAGTGGAACAGACAAGCCTGTATTTACAGACCCACCAATTAAGACGAAGTTTGAGGGGGCCTGGCCCTAGCTCAGTCCTTTAAGTGGCTGCTTCCACAAAGCTGTCAGCCTCGGGTTGCTGGAGTTCGAACCTCACAACTCTCCCGCTGGCCAAAAGTGCCCTGAAGGCATTTGAAGAACAACAACAAAAAAAAAGACGAAGTTTGGATGTTATATTATTACGGTTGAAGGGAAAAAATGAAATTATGTGAAAGATTAAAAAAACCAAACAGACTGAGTTGGGTTTCTATCATAGAAAGGCTTCAAATGTGGGAAGTGTGTTTTTGTGTGTGTGTGTGTGTGTGTGTGTTTTGCGTTACTGGGGATTGAACTCAGGACCCTGCACTTGCCAGGCAAGTGCTTATTCTACTGAGCTATCTCCCCAGACCACTTCCCCAGAAGTGTGTTTTTGTGGCTTTTTTTTTTTTTTTTTAAAGTCAGATTTCTCTCTTTTTTGTACTGGAGATCGAACTCAGGACCTTACGCTTGCTAGACATGTGCTTATACCACTGAGCTGTCCCTAGCCCCATGGTCAGCTTTATTGAGATGCACCTCACGTGCAGTGGAATCCACACCCTGCGAGCACAGACATTCTGAGTTTGTGCAACACACCTTTGTAACTACCACCACAATCACATGTGGAACTTTTTCTTTTGGCCCAAAAATGTTCCTTCATCTCTTTCGTGCTCAATCCCTCCACCTGCATACAACCACTGACCTGCTTTTGCAGAAACTTGCTTTTGCCTTTCTAGAACTTCCTATAAGGATGATCACACAGGGAGCACTGTGTTTGGTTTCCTCAGCATGCTCATCCTTGTTACAGCGTCATGGACCCTTTTACGGGTGGGGAAGATTGCATGGTGTGGATGTGCATTGGTTTGCTCAGCCACTTACCTCATGATGTATTTTTGAGCTGTTTCTAGATCTTGGCTGTTAAAAAGAAAGTTGTTTTTGACATTTACTTATCAATCTTGGGGTGTATGTGTCATTTTTTACACATCAGGCTTGTTTTCTTTGAGACAACTAGTTGAGACAGCTAGATTGACTTGTTCAGAGCCTTGTGGCTGACACCATCACCGCTGGCACAGTGACCTGGAGCCTGGAGCAGGGGGTGGAGCACAGTGTTCCTTAACAAAGGGAGCTTAGCTGCTTGGGAAAGGAGCTATTGGGCTCCTGGTGCCCGATACCATGGTTGCTGGGAGGAATTGTCAAGATGAGCTGCAGCCTCGGTCCTCACTGCCCCCAGCCAGCGGTCCTCACTGCCCCCAGCCAGCGTTACAGTGTATTTGTTTTCCCCCATGGATTCCGGGGTTTGAAAGATAAAAGTCTAAATAGGCTGCATTCATGAAGCCAGCATCTATTTCCCCCACTATATTTGAGTTGTATCCAGAGCTGGCTGTGCGCTCTCTCGCTGTGAGCCCAGAGAAAGACTTGGAGCTGAATCATTCCAACCAGAAACAAAGAAACCTTTTTCTTTTTTTGGGGTGGGGGTGGGGGTGGGGGGAAGCAGTAGTACATCAAAGACTTGCCAGAAGTTGAGGGGACATCAGGTTGGTCACCTAGATGAGTCCCCTTACAGATGTTCCAGCCTGCTCTTTGGCATGGTCTGTCTGCCTAGGTCAGCTTGGAGATCCTGATACTTGTTCAGTGAACTCGCTCAGTTATCTCCATTGGAACTCTGAGCCACCCTTGGGTCCAAGTATTATAAACTAGAGGTATCTGTGGGCCTCCTGGTTTGGGGAGCTGATCTTTTCTTTATTTGAGCCAGTGAGACCTGGCCATACAGCTTTGTTGTGACATCACCCTTCATACCCCTAAGAACCTCCAGGCAAAATCAGCTGGTGACCAGCCCATGTCCCCCTTTTGGGGCTTGATACCATACTATGTGTTTTATGTGTATTTTCTCAGACTCTTGGCTACTTAACTGTGCTGTAACACCCCAGTCTGGCCTGCTTTTTCAGAGTCTGAGCCCCTGCTAGACATCAGTGGAGAATATGGGGCTAGAGAAACCAACCAGCATTGGGGGTGGTCATTCTCTGGGATGAAGTTTGAGCAATAGGAGCTGGGAAGGCAAATTCCTATCCCTCTGCCCTAGATGGGGTAGGTGACATCTTGAGAGCTCGCTGTCCCTCTCTTCCTCACGTCTCTGTCCCCTTACGTCTCCGTTCACTCACTGGTGCTGCCTGAGATTGATTCGACCCGCACCTTGAAGCACAGCACATTGGTGAAGGCTGTTGGCTCTTGTCTCCTCCAGTGTATCCTGCCTCCCAGTCCCCCATGGAGGGGGACACTTTGTGTCCTGCCCCTCTGCCCTATTTGTCTTTTGCTGACTGCGGAGCCCACTAGAGAGGCTACTAGGAGTCTGTCTTTTTTTTTTTTTTTTTTTTTTTCAGAACCGGGGATTGAACTCAGGCCCTTGTGCTTGCCATGCAAGCACTTATTCTACTGAGCCATCTCCCCGGCCCCCAGGAGTCTGTCTTAATAAACTGAGGTCCTCTTTTCCTAATTTCACAATTTTCATATATGTAGGATAATTTGGATAATTGTACTGCCAATTTCTGCTGATCTTTTTCTGTTGCTGTTTTTTTTTTTTTTTTTTTGGCACCAGAGATTGAACTCAGGACCTGCAGGCCTTTATGCTGCTGAGCTATCTCCCCAGCCCTCTGCTGGTCTTTTGAAAGAAGCAGTGCTTAAATTTCTTTCTTTTTTTTTTTTTTTCCTTTTTCCTTTTTAAAAAAATTTCTTACAACTTTTTCGTTGTTGTTTAGTTTCATATTTTTAAACCAATTTTGCATGTTTATATCTGTTAACCTAAATAACTAATTTGAAGATAACATCATGCAACACAGCAACCATTGTTGAATTCCTATTACTTTGTTTAGTGGATTTTTGTATTGTTTCTAATGCTGTTTTTATTACTATTTTGTATTCTTTAAAAAATAAAGAATAAATGCTCTCACAATTTTTCTAGAAAGTTTTCTTTGTAAGATAGAGAGCCTCACTTATCTCTATTCCCATTCATTTATTCAATTTTTTTTTTTTTTTTTTTTTTTTTTGAGATTGAACTCAGGACCCTGTGCTTGCCAGGCAAGCACTTATTCTACTGAGCTATCTCCCCAGCTCCCCATTTGTTTATTCAATTGTAAGTTTTTTTTAAATATGTCTGGTGCATGAGGTACCAGGGAGAGATACAAAGAGAATAGTGCTTTGCAGGCCTTCCTGCAGCTTCGGTTTTAGTGGCATTGTGTGTGGACACTTGGTTCAGTGAAGTTATTCTAGACATTTGGATAATTTGTCATGTCCTTTATAGCCTAAACAACACGTAACTCTAAGGAGTGTGTTTTGGTCTTAAGCTAAGTTGGAATGCATGCCGCAGGTGGGCGGCCCTGGGGTGCCAAGGCGAGTACTTACTGTCTGCCAAGCTTTGTCCTCAGCTTTCTGAGCCAAGCTCATGCGAACCTGGAATCACTGACATTCCTCACTGGTGAGGACTCAAGAGAAGTAGTTTCTTGGAGCAGAAAGGGGATCTGAATCTGTCTTTGGGCTGTGTCAGGGAGCCCTGGGGGAGGGGAATGTAAAAAAATGTATAAAATACCTCAGTTGACCGTAGATGTATACTTGAGGCTCTTTCCACATTCTCCCTTGGAAAACAGTCACTCTCCCTGTCCGCATCCCTAAACCTGACTGTGATTCAGAGCTTCCTCTTGCTGTCATCTTACATGTTCAGCACCTGCGCTGTGTGCTGGGCACTGGCCCCTGGGAATCTTGGTGCTATAAGCATGTGTTGGTTTTGTTCCGCAGCATCCATTCTCTCTCTCTTCCAACAGTAGCTCCCCTCTTGCTTGAAGGACTGCTTTGTCACTCTGTTTGGTCCTGGAAGGGTTTTTTTGGTGTGTGTGGTTTTTTGTTTTTTTTTTTTTTTTTTTTTTTTTTTTTTTGAGTGTGTGTGTGTTATTGTTTTGTTTTGCAGTACTGGGGATTAAGCCAGGGTGTATTGCATGCTAGGCAAGCACTCTACCATAGAGTTACATCCTGGGCCTCTTCATTTCAAGATACTGTCTTGCTAAGTGGCGCAGGCTGACCTCAAACTCATGATCCTCCTACCTAGACCTCCCTTGTAGCTAGAATTCCATGTGTGTACCATTATGCTAGGCTTAGCAACCAAGTGGTCACATGACCCTAGTGAAGCCAATCATAGTTTGACACTCCTTAGACTGGTCCAGGAGTTGGAAATGTGATCCAATCAGAGCTCTTCCCTGGAACATTCTGAATTTCCCCCATGGCTCATGAGCTAGCTGAGAGCTAGCTAACTCCAGAGCAGCCAAAGCCAGGAGCCCAAGAGGGTGAAGTCCTGAAACTCTGCTCGGATCAGCCTCTTGTCTGTCTCAGTCTGCTTTACACAGGGCAGTAGATTTCCATCTCCTTTTAATCAGTATAAAACAGGAATAGGTTACATCAAATCGAACAAAATAATTTATAAAGGAAATCACCAGGCTTTTGCCTTATCTTCCTTCTTCACCTCAGCTTCACTCTCAAGGCAAATTATTTCACACTTTTATTTTGGTTTTTTGTCTGATGGATAACTGTAAGTTTAGGTAATGTGCTCTTTATCTGTTTTTTTTTTTCTTTG